ATATATATGTCTATCAAAGAAGATATGCTTGAAAGATCCCTTATATGTCGAGAACGGCTGAACTGATTTCGACAGTTCTCATTAATTCAGAATGGCCTCTTGGCAGGAAAGAAAAAACGTCTAAAAAAATCGCATAAAAATATCTCTCTAAAGATGAAAATATTGATTTTGTAAAATTTTCTCATATTTTTTCAATTTTGTCATATTTTTGGCATATTTTCATTTTGAATTAAACATTTGGTAATATTTCTACAGCTAACAAAACTAAGTAGTTAGGATATCAGGATATCATATACAGATCGCATTTATGGCCCGATCCTTACGAAATTTTGCATGGGGATAAGATGAGGGTCAGAATAGAAGCCTACTCTTTTTGGAGATGATCGCCATATATTTAGGGGTTGAAATGGACCAAAAAACTGCAAAATTGTCAGCAGGTCGTATTTATCGCCCGATCCTCAGGCACATTTGAAAGGGGGACATTGCAAAAGCCAAGCAGTTTTGAATGGCCATCCAAAAATATTCAATGTGTGAAATAGTTTGCCAACTTTTGTAGACAAAATACGAAAATGTCCATTCCAGAGACTTTTTCGAGAATTCACAAATACAGGAAAGACACACTTCTGACAATTTCGTTAACGAACATAGTCAAATGTCTGTCATAGATGCGTTTCAGTCAAAAACCAATAATAAATGTTAATCTTTTGCCACTCTGAGAGATTATAGGACTTTGGGAAATATTGGTTCCAGAACTAGGAAGACCATTTACGTGCAACATCTTCCAATAAATTGGAAATGAGCAAATTCGTTTAAGTTGCTATTATTCGAAAATTAGAGAACGAAACCTGACTAAACCTGGTTTTCTTTTATTATTTGTCACAATATCTTGTGGAATTCTTTCGAGTATCTCGTCTATATAAACTGTATGGTTTATTATAGTGTTGTAGGGTATTCAACGGTCGGCCCCGCTCGACTGTAGCTTTTGCTTACTTGTTTTTTTAAAATATTGATTTTGATTTAATATAATTCGCATAGACATTTTCCAAAAAAATGCTCCACTTTTTACCAATTTTTTAAAATTCTCTAACAAATTCGAAAACGAATATCATTCTGGAACATTTCGTAAATATTTGTACTTGAGTGTGCCCGTCCCGAGATTATGCTTTTGAAAGTGTTTTTTTTTTTTTTTTTTTTTTTTTTTTTTGTGGCAAAAAAGGATGTTGATTTTATTTTATTCCCATAAACATTTCCCAAATCACTTCCGTACAAATATTTAACAATTAGATCCAATATATGACCGGATGATTTAACGATAAAACAAAAAAACAATCAATCTTTTAGGAAATTCTTGAAGAGGATGTTGGAAAGACAAACATTTCTTGTTAGGGTCAGTTTCTGTATGAATGCGTATCTGAAATAGAGGTTATAATAGCAAAAAATGGACCAACATGCCAAATTTTTATACCCTCCATCATACTATATGGGGTATATTAACTTTGTCATCCCGTTTGTAACTCCTCAAAATATACATATTAAACCACACAAAGTATATATATTCTTGATCAGCGTAAAATTCTAAGTCGAATTAACGATATCCGTCGGTCTGTCTGTTGTAATCTTTCGAACGAATTGAGATAGAAGGCTAAAATTTTGCACACGTTTTCATATAGCCCCCATATATATAATTTGGTATTTGAAGTTCGTAATGGATACTACATCCTAAGACAGAAAATTGTCTGAGCAAGTCCACGTCTTCGTATAGCCCCCATATAACGGTACCTCCCGATATTCGGCATTTAGATGATTTTAGAGACATTATTCACCTGAATTGTTTCAAATTACGTATTTAGAGTTCGTAATGGGAACTAAAGTCCGTGACAGAAAATTGTCTATTCAGGTCCTGGTCTTCGTATAGGCCCCATATAATGGTACCTCCCGATATTCGGAATTTTGATGATTTTAGCTACATTATTTACCGGAATTATCTCAAAATATTGAATTTGAAGTTCGTAATGGATACTACCTTCTAAGACAAAAAATTGTCTGAGCAGGTCCACCTCTTCGTGTAGGCCCCATATAACGGTACCTCCCTATATTCGGTATTTTGATGATTTTAGCGACATTATTCACCGGAATTGTTTCAAATTACATATTTAGAGTTCGCAATGGGAACTACAGTCCGTGACAGAAAATTGTCTATACATGTCCAGGTCTTCGTATAGGCCCCATATATCAGGACCTCCCTATATTCGGTATTTTGATGATTTTAGCTACATTATTCACCGCTTATTTCAAGTTTCGAATTTGAAAATGGCAAAGGTTTATGATAAACAATACCTATGTAAGCCACGTCGTATAGATCCCATAATAATGGGTATGTTCGGTATTTTTAAAATTTTAACAGAATTTTTACCGGATTTTAATTTTTGAAAATTTTAAAATCGTACCAAATGGTGGAAGGTACTCAAAGTTCAGCCCGGCCGAACTTACTGCTTATTAACATGTTTCAAACTAATTATTATTAAAGTAGTAACACAAAGCTTTCTATAAAAATATACGGCCCTATACTGCGAATGTTGCGAATAATAGCCTAAAATATTATGAAATGACACGATGTTTGGCCTGAGAATCCGAATGTCATTGGGGGTTTGGTCTGAATACTATCAAATCCACTTAGAAATTTTCACAACGCAGACTATTTATTTTTCGAAAAAAAAATTATAAAATTTGCTACGAATTCGGAAAAAGTATTAAATTAATTGAAAACCAGTTAAAAAGTGTTTGTCGGTTTTGCCGACATATGTATACCCTCAGCCAATGTGCGATTATTTAAAAATATTTTGACTTCTGTTATGATTAATCCAATGTTTAACCCCTTATGCAGTAGGTTCCGTAGGAATGGACCAATATTGGCCATTTCGTATCTGACCAAAAAAATATGATATAAATCTTACGACATGCCAGGTTTGGACTATATTGGTTACTTCCTTATGCGAAATACCGGGCGAGATGAAAAAACTGCAACCAAATTTAGACTGCTGTCATTTCTAAGCCACTCGTCCGACAGCTGTTAAAATTATTCCAGTGACAGCTCATCATATTGTTTACAAGCGTACAAAGGCATTTTGGTGATAATTTTCCAGAAAAAAAGTTATTCGTGATGGAATTCAAGCGTGATAGTGTGATTTTTTATATTTCGCTGGGAAAACACAAGTGGCTATCGCTAGAGCACTCCAGCATTTAAATGTGAATAAATCTTTTGTGTCTCGTACCCTCGCTTGTTATCGTGATACTGGGGTAGCGTAGCCCGACGTCAACGAAGTGGGTGGAAGAAAACAGCAACATCAGCAGAAATGGTTCGAAAAGTAAAGAAGCGACTTGATCGAAACCCCTATCGCAGTGGCCGAAAAATGGCTCGTGAGCTAAACATATCGCAATATTCCATTCGGCAAATATTGAAAAATGAGCTCGGGGTAAAGCCATTGAAATTCCAAAAAGTGCAAGAACTTACACCGCAACAGAAAGAAAATAGACTCAAAAGAGCTAAGGAGTTGCTTCGCTTGGCCGAAAGTAGTGAACTGCCGAATTTGGTTTTCGGTTTCTCCGCTCCGATGAGAAAACATTCGTTGTGCAGCGGTTTGTAAACAAACAAAATGATCGTGTTTTTTTGCCATAGAGGTCAGCTGAAAATGTGCACCTTCGGTTGGCCACCAGAATTCAAGCGCCGGCCATGTTGAAGGTGTGGGCCGCCATAACTGCCGATGGTCGCTCTCCGCTTGTATTAATCGACCGTGGCGTCAGAATAAATGCCCAATATCGCGTAAATATTCTGACGGGTGCATTAAAACCATGGGCATGCAAACATTTTTGCCGCAGACCTTGGACATTCCAACAGGACTCAGCACCAACGCACTCAGCACGCACCACCCAAGAATGGTTACAAAATGAGGTTTCTCGCTTCATTTCCAGCGCACAATGGCCACCAAAATCTCCGGATGCCAATCCGTTGGACTATTGTGCCATGGAGTATTTTGGGAAGCAAGGTTGGCGCAAAAAATACCAAAAACACCTCAGGTAAACACTTCGCCGGGAATGGGCCAAAATACCACAGAACGACATTCGGGTAGCGTGTGACGGTTTCATTGGCCGTTTAAGGCCATAATTCGTGCCATAGATGACCAATTCGACACATCTAAACTTGTTTTTAAATTTGATGCTATTTCCGAACTTTTTTTGCTTTCATTCAATAAAATTTAAAAAAAAATGTAAAAACTATGGAGTTTGACTTTGTTGCAGTTTTTTTATCTCATCCTGTGTACTGCGAATTATAGCTCAATATGTTGTGAAATGACACGAAGTTTATAACGGATCTTGGGTTGATGGAAATATTGAGATATACCAAGTCTGAGTGGAATCGGATGTTAAATTCGCATTTTCTGATCTTCATCAATATTCAAATTTTTGACCCTCTATGGGGGAGGTACCAGAAGGAGTACACCGATATATCCAATCTTCATCGCAAATCTTTTGTAAGTAGAAACAATGGGATGTGTGAAATATGAAGAGAAAAGGATGCTTATTTCGGATTTTATATCCTTTTTGGTTTTTAAAAACTTTGATACTTTGGAGAGAGGTACCAGAAGGAGTGGTCCGATCTCTAGGTTCTTTATAAAAAAATCTTGTGATGATTGAAATATTGAGATGTGCCGAGTCTGAATGGAATCGGATGTTAGTTTCGCGTTTTATGAGCTTCATAAATATTCAAAATGTTGAGATTTTTGGGGGGACGTACCAGAAGAAGTGGACCGATAGAGGATGAAATATCTTCATACCAGACCGTGGTCTTTGACCTTAAAGCCCTCAACTGCCATTAGCCCGATTTTTATTATTAGATATAAATTGAATTTGGTTTCCACCACTACTTGCCCTACAATTGAGCATTATTCTGTCCCAAATAACCGCCATTTCCCCAACTTCCAAAAAAATCACCCCATACTCACAGTTGGATCTGAGCACCGCTGACATTTACAGGTGAACGTTTTCTTCATCTTCAGGAACAAATGACGAGCAATATTTCCCGTAAACAATTTCGTATAAGTTGTGGTAATCTCCGTACCCGATGGTATATCCACCGAGGCCCTTACAATCATGTTGTTGGTTTTCTCCTCAAACGTATAATACGAATTCGGAACACAATCATGATTGACCAGTGCGAAAAGGGGGAACAGGGCACGATAGAAAAATTCCTGATTATCATTGGTACGATCCGATGTCTCATCGAAGCCATTTGTACGCAACACGGCCACAGCACGATTCATGATGTCGATCAGCTTCTTGTCGGTGGGAAATTTGCGGAAACACTTGGCTGCATTGCGCACCTCGGTGCGATGGTTATTATCCAAAGTGGCCTGCAGGCAATACATTAAATCCCTTTGCTCCTTGGTACAATTAATGGCCCTGGCTGGACACAGCAGGCGAATAATCAACGAATTGGCCACCTCCGGTTCACAGGGTTCCCACGACTTGAAAAGGGCACAATCGGCTTTGTGTTGTTTCTTTTTCTGGCATAAATTACAAATCGGCAGACCACAGCCTTGGCGGCACATAAATTTCGTGTCGGGCAAAAGTTTGAAACACACCGAACAGGAATTCAAGGTGTCCTCTTTGCGTGCAGCCGGACCAATAAGCAGAGGCATATCTCGAAAGATCACTTCGCCACGTTTAATGTTACGCGTTGTAAAGACACCGCGACCGGCAATTTTCGACACACCGATTTCCCAGGCTGGATCCTTGTCCTTAAAAGGTTCCAAGAATTGCTCCAACAATTCCGTCGTGCGTTTCGGACAAATCATTTTGGTACTTTAGTTGAAATTTAATCAAAAATTTAATATTTTATTTTTCTGAATTTTTTCAAAATCTTGTTTTATTTTTAAGTTTTAAAATAATTTTTTTTAATTTTTTTTTTAAAAATCTAGTTTTTTTTTAAGTTTTAAAATAATTTTTAATTTTTTTTTATAAAATTTATTTATTTAATTTTTTCAAGTGTATTTTTTTCACTTTCACTCTATTCGATTTTCCACTAATTTTTGTCAAATTTTTTTTATTCAATATTATTTTCTCCTTATTTTTCAATCCGTTTTATTTTCAAAATTTGATTTTTTATTCTTTAAGGCTACGCGATCTTTGGCCAACTGTCGCCCGTTTCCAGTTTACAAGACTTATATTTAAAATGTTGCCAATTTTTGTGGCAAAAGCACCAACGAACCCCAAACGAGCTGTGATGAGTTCGTGTGCGAAAATCCGTCTTTTCGGCGGCTGCCATTTGCAGAGTATTTTTCTTCTTGTTTTTCTTTTGCTAATTCTCAACTAGGTATGTGTGTATATTGTGTGTGTATATTGTGTTTGTGTGTTGATTTGAGAGAAAAATTGAGGCTTTCATTTAAATTAACAATTATATGGCCATTCAGAATTTATTGAATATATCAATTGGCGATTGGGTAGTAGGTTGTTTAAATTAAAGCCAAAACGTATAAACTAAAGTTATAAATTAAAAGTAGTGCCTGTGAGAATTTCAATTTGTTTTTAGTTTTTCGAAAAAATGATTACTTTTTAAATTCGAAAAAAAATGCTGAACTGTTGAACAACAGTTTGTCTCGGAAAAATTCTATAAAATTACAATTCAAGATTTTTTTACGACCCTCCCACAATATTTACACCCTACACCACATAGTGATATTATGTCTTTGTGCATTTGCTTTGTAACATGGAGAAGGAAGCCAGATAGACCCATAGTTACTTTTGAGGATCTTCATAGAATCACTTTCTGAGTCGATTTAAACACGTCAGTCCAACTGTCCCTGTATTCTTGTGAACAAAATGAAGGTCGCACTTATTATCCGATGGAGATGAAATTTTCCAAATAATATTTGGTTGGTCCAAGGACGATCTCTATTGAAAATGGTGATAATCGGATCAGATTTAGATATAACTCCAGTATATATCTTCAACCGATTTCGAGATAAAGGTGCACCAAAAAGCTAATATAAATGCAAATGACTTGAATTTGGCACACCCAACCGAATTCAGTCTAGAAGCAACTAGATCAAATTTGGTAAAAATCGAAATTTATCAAAATCGGTTCAGACTAATATATAGCTCCCATGTACATGTTATATATCCTCAACCGATTTCGGGTAAATTGTGCACCAACTAATTTTGGTACATCCGAACGAATTCAGTCTAGAAGCAAGTACATCAAATTTGGTGTAAATCGGTTCAGATATAGTTATAGCTTCCATATATATGTTTCATCTGATTTGGAGTTTTAAGTTCCTCATAAGGGTAATATGCATTCCACAACAATGATATTTGGTACCAGACATCAGATACAGTTTCAAAATAAGTGTATCAAATTTTGTCAAGATCGGTTCAGATTTTGGATATGACCCCAATATATATCTTCAAACGATTTTGGGTTAATTGTGCACCAAATAGCCAATTCCAATTCAAATTACCTGAAATTTGGCACATCCAACCAAATTCAGTCTAGAATTAAGTACATCAAATTTGATGAGAATCGGTTCAGATATAGCTATAGCTCCCATATATATGTTGCATCCGATTTGGGGTTTTAAGTCCCTCACATGCGTAATATAAATTTCACAACAATGATATTTGGTACCAGTTATCAGATACAACCCAAAAATACCTCTGCCAAATTTTATCAAGATTGGTTCAGATTTGGATATAGCTCCCATTAACAGACTGAGATAAAAAAAACTACAACAAAGTCAAACGCCATAATTTTTCATTTTTTTGTTAATTTTATTGAATGAAACCAAAAAATGTAGGATGTAGATGTGTAGAATGTAACCTTTGACACGAATTATGGCCTTCAAATGGCCAATGAAACCGTCACAAGCTGCTCGAATGTTGCTCTGCGGTATTTTGGACCATTCCCGGTGAAGCACTTGCTTGAGGTGATCGACACTTTGGTATTTTTTTGTGCAAACCTTGCTTTCCAAAATACTCCAGACACAATAGTCCAAAGGATTGGTATCCGGAGATTTTGGTGGCCATTGTGCGCTGGAAATGAAGCGAGGAACCTCATTTTGTAACCATGTTTTTGGGTGGCGCGTGCTGAGTGCGATGGTGCTGAGACCTGTTGGAATGTCCAAAATGTTTGCGTGCCCTAGGCTTTAATACACCCTCCAGAATATTTTAGCGATAATATTCGGAATTTATTCTGTTAAGGCGACCCACACCATCATTATGGCCGGCGCTTGAGTTCTGTTCGCCAACCGAAGGTTCACATTTTCAGCTGACCTCTTTGGCAAGTGAACACGAACATTTTGTTTGTTTACAAACTGCTGGACAACGAATGTTTTCTCATCGGAGAAAAACGAAAACCAAATTCGGTAGTTCACCACTTTCAGCCAAGCGAAGAAACTCTTTAGCTCTTTTGAGTCTTTTTTCTTTCTGTTGCGGTGTAAGTTTTTGCACTTTTTGGAATTTCAATGGCTTTACCACGAGGTCATTTTTCAATATTTGCCGAATAGAACATAGCTCACTAGCCATTTTTCGGTCACTGCGACACGGGTTTCGATCACGTCGCTTCTTTACTTTTCGAACCATTTTTGCTGATGTTGCTGTTTTCTTCCGTCCACTTTCTTGACGTCGGGATACGGTACCAGTATCACGGTAACGGTAACGAGCGATGATACGAGACACACAAGATTTATTCACATTTAAATGCCGGAGTGCTCTAACCATAGCCTTGTCATAGCCATTTGTGGTTTTCCAGCCCAATATATAAAGAAATCACACTATCACGCTTGAATTCCATCACGAATACCTCTTTTTCTGGAATATTCTCACCAAAATGCTTTTGTACGCTTGTAAACAATATCATGGGCTGGCACTGGAATAATTTTAATAGCTTTCGGACGAGTGGCTTAGAAATGACAGCAGTCTGAAGTTAGATGCAGTTTTTTCATCTCACCCTATATGAACTTTTTTAGGTTCAAAATTATTATTTCGATGAGTTAAATACGGAATAAAGAACTTAATAAACCCTCCATACTATGTATGGTGAAGGGTATACAAATTGTCACCCTTTGTAGGTGAGGTACTAGATGGGGTTCGCATATATATATCATCTTCACAACAGATCTTGTGTTAGCAAAAATGTATGTCTGTGTGAGAGTTGGATTCTTATTTCGATTTCTTTGGGCTATTTGTTTTTCAAAAGCTTGAACCCTATTTGTGGTAGGTACCAGAAGGAATGTGACATACATTTCCATGATTTCTTTTAGCCCACATATGAGTATACTACCCGATTTTAGCAGTTTCTCTCACTGACTTTTCTGTAAAACGGAAGTTTGAAAACATGTAGGGCAAAATTGTTGTATTGATCCCATATAACGGCGCCTCCCGATATTCGGTGTCTAGATGCTTTTAAAAAAATATTTTCAACGGAGTTTTCTCAAATTTGCCAAGTTCAATACCAGAGCGTCTCTTACGTACTTGTAAATATTACATATAAATATATGAACGTCATTCACAAGTCCATGCATGATTTTACACAAAAAATGATGTTGTTTTGATTACAAATCAAGCGAATCGGTCAAAAAAAAAACAAGAAGACGTAGCTGCCAACTAGTCAGGTAGAAAAAGAAACTATTCGAATTTTATGTGCGGGCAATTGGTGATGCGAATGGTTCCACAACATCCGCTCGGTTATGCTTTTGAAGCGGGAGGAAGAGAGAGAGAGTGAGAGTGGGGGAGGACGCCAATATGCATAAATTCAAAATTAATTGGACACTCCGTAATTCCTGATGGTGGTGGACAACGAAATTTTTGGGGGATTTAAATGGCGACAATTTTTGGTCCGTCAGACTAATCGCAGAATTTTGAACTTAGTTATAAAATATGTTATTATTATTATGATTATTATTATGATTATTATTATTATTATTATTATTATTATTATTATTATTATTATTATTATTATTATTATTATTATTATTATTATTATTATTATTATTATTATTATTATTATTATTATTATTATTATTATTATTATTATTATTATTATTATTATTATTATTATTATTATTATTATTATTATTATTATTATTATTATTATTATTATTATTATTATTATTATTATTATTATTATTATTATTATTATTTATTTTTTTTTTTGTATTTATTTATTTTTTTTTGGATCCCATGTTAGTGGAAAAAATAGTATAAAGCAGGACATTTTTTTATAGAAATAATTATTTTGGGCATAAGTAGCCTTTAAATGTTGTGAGCTTAAGTCCGAATTTACAATTCTAGATACCAACCATAACGTTCCCTGGATTAATAATACCACTTATTTGGCATACAAAAATAATAAATGCATTTCAAAATTCAAGTTTATTTTATCCTGTACTAAAATGCCACTTAATCCACTTTGCTATTTCAGCGAATAACAAAGTAGCATCATTTGCGGCAATTGATTTCAAATTTATCTTACGGTTTGTGCTACATGTTCGAGAATATTGAATTGAAAATTCATATATTTTTGATTTTTGTCATTATTAATATTTGTATTTTTTCTTAAAAATTAATTTAGATTTCCGTTTGCAATGAATTTAAATTCATAACATGAATGTAAAAATAATTTTTATAGAAACAATCTCAGTTGCTGAGGAATAAAATATAAATAAAATTGTTTCATCCACTTTTGATTAAAAATCTTCATCAGCCCCTGAGACGAGTCTATAGGCCATCTTTGAAAATAGATAAATGAGTAGATAGCATATGGAAGCTAACGACTTGAAAAAATTTGGTCCAACAATATCCCATACAATAAATGAAAGATGCTCATGGTGTTTAGCAGCGAATATGAAGCTCGTA